ATTCGTTTAAAAATGCCTAGGAACCAGCAGTTGGCGTAATGGCTATCTTGCCGGACTCCCACGTAGTCGACCACAGTCCGAGTCCCAGACCCGGTGGCTTAAACTCACACCAGGTGCGTGTGCGTGCGTGCCCAAGATCCCGAGAGGAGAATGGAGGAGAAGGGATTGTGGCGTGGCCATCCCCCCCAGGGGAGTGATTTCTCGCTTTCTGTCTCTCTGTCTCTCTTTCTGGCAGGCACAAGCGCCCTATTGCAAAAATCTCTCCAAAACCAAACCAAAACAAAAGCCTAACAAGGGGCCAGCAGGTGATAGAACACTTACGTTGCTGGACTCCCACATGGCTGACCGTGGGTCCAGTCCCAGACCCGGCGGCTAGAAACTCACACCAGACTCGTGTGCACGCATGCCCAAAATCCCAAAAGGAGAATGGACTGTGGCGTGGCCATCTCCCCGGGGTGATTTCCTGCTTTCTGTCTCTCTGTCTCTCTCCGTCTCTCCAGTGAGTGCACACACCCTATAGCAAAAACCTCTCTCAGAGAAAAGGGCTGACAAGGGCTTCCCCACTCGACCCCTGGAGGAGTCCAACCCGGTGGGGCTCCGTCTGAGCCCCTTGACCTTTGAGCATCGCTTCCGGTCGGTTCAGTGAGTTGGCAAGGCCGTGACTGTACACCCCCCGACCTTGGAACAGGCTTGGGTCACTTAGCATGTTGGCAAGGCCACCTGCTATTCGCTCCGGGACTGTGATAGCCTTGCTGGGAAGTGACCCCCCTCTGACTCCCCAATATACTACTATAAAAGAATTACATAGCTCCCTCATACATCTTGAGTGTGTGGTAAGATTTCCCGAAAAGTCCCCCGACCGCTCCCCTTTACCCTGACCACTTACTGTTAACTACAACGCTTCATTGGGCACAGTAAAGGGTGTGCTAAAGTTCTTCCTGATCTTTGGGAGGCCCTTCAAGACACATTTAATATAAATAATCTTTTCACGTACAATAGGACTAGGCCGAAACTGGCCCAGGACGCTCTCGTCCCATGGTAACTAATGTTCTAACGAAATACGTAACAGTGGTGCCATAGGCTACACAAGTGTATCCACAACACCTTATAAACCCATTTTAAGGTTTTTCATTAACTTATTAGTCACTTCACCACCAGTTGAAAAGGCTGTATCCCCGCCCGCATCAAGTGAACACTAACTCCACCCCTTCAGGATAGGTAAATATATCAGGGTTCCTTACGTTTTAAATCCCTATAGAATTATATAAGTATCATTCTTTATGAAAATCCATAAGAACTAATATCTATGCTTGAGATTTTCTTTCAGTAATCATAAGACAGCTGCTGCTGAACATCGGTTGATAGTTAACTCTGCTTGCTGGAACTGTTTCCTGAAACTGCACTGCTTGAAGTTACCAGGAACCTGCTTTCATCAATCGAACAATTGTTGAACTGTATCGATGATTAATAGACCTGCCCATAATCAAACCCTGGATGGTTTCTATTGTTAAAACATTATGAACTGATCATTAGTACACGTAGCCCCTCTCCCATTTACTTGCATGTATCCCATTTTCAATAAAAAGGCACGGCGATTCCTAGCAGTTGTCACTCCTCAGAGAGCGATCTCTGGGAGTGTCCGGCTTAGGACGTGCATGAAAAGGCACGAGGCCTTTGTCTTTCTTTCCCTCCAGCGTCGCCTCCGTCGAGCAAACCCACCCCCGCCGAGGCTGGTCCCCAGCAGACCCCCGATGTGCACAGGTGTGAGGATGTGCTGCCACTCTCTGCCTTTGTGTTAGGTTGGAAACTTAATCCAATTCCAGCATTAAGAGGTGGGGCAGGGCCAGAAGGTGGTATGGTGATTAAGGTGCTGGACTCCCACAAGGCAGACCACAGTTCAAGCCCCAGACCTGATGGCTTGAAAATCACACTGAGTGGATGTGCGTGCGTGCCCAAAATCCCGAGAAGAGAATGGAGGAGAAGGGATTGTGGCGTGGCCATCCCCCTGAGGGCTGATCTCTCACGTCCCCTGTCTCTTGTGAGCCATGTGACCCATATGACAAAACACCAAAAAAAAAAAAAAAAAGAGTTGAGGCTGTGCCAGCTGGTGGCACGGTAGTTAAGGCACGGGGTCTCACATGGCCAACTGCGTAGTTTGAATCCCAGACCCAGCCGCTTGAGAAATGCGCCAGGAACGTGTGCATGCATGTCTCACACCCTGAGGACGGAGAAGGAACTATGGCATGGCCACCCCTCCCAGCTGTTTCTCCTTTTCTTTTCCCTGGCCCCCAACAAGTGCACATCCCCCATAGCAAATTAAAAGATACATTAAGTGAAGAGGCCAGCAGGAGGCGTGGTGGTCAAAGCACTGGACTCCCACATGACCGACCGCAGTTTGAGTCCCAGACCTGGTAGCTTGCTTTCTCACTCTCTCTCATGAGCACACGTGCCCTATCGGAAATTAAAATAATAACAACAATAATAATAAATAATTCTTTTTAAGTAAATGAGTAAATAAATAAAGTTCAAAAAAAGGAAAGAGGTGAGAACTTTGTGGGCAATCGGGACTGGATTCAGTCATCATGGTGGGCCCCGTGACGGACCTGGCACCTTGCGAGAAGCCACGTGCCAGCCTGCGCGGCCAGAGGCCTGCCCAGCCG